GGACTGCATTACTGCTGCCGGGGTCGTTTCTTGACCTAGCCCAGCCTACGTCCCCGAGAGCAGAACTTTCAAAATCACCTTCCGAGACGTCCAAGATAGACCGCGCCAGGCGGTCGGTTGGTCTCGAAAGGTGATTTTGCAGCGTTCTATAGAAGAGGTCTTTCCCCATGGTCTTGACGTGTGTGTGTTAGTATGTGTGTGTGTAGCTAGGGCGGACAAGCGGTGGAATTCGTGGAACCGCACTAAAGCAATCAGGTAACGTTTCTAAGTGTTTAGAAGGTTATTAAAATTGAAACACAGTTGGACTACGCTCCAGACTTTGTATTTACAGATACATACATATTGAAGGGAAAGCTATGACAATCAGTTCAATTATAGTAATAATTAATTTAATCTACGACTTTGGAGTCAAAGCAGATGGCTGAGGGCACCTGTACTTAAGCATTTCAACCTCTGCTTCAAAGTAAGAGGTTTGATTGTAACAGAAATATTCTGGATTCTTGTATGCAGTGTTTTTGGAAGCGCCAGGCCCAACCTCTGTAATAACAGGAAATGTGCAACAATTAATATTATGATAAATCAGCACCTCCCAATGTTTTATGCAAATTGGTAAACAAGTAAATGAAACGAACCTGTGTTTGGTACATCCAATACGTTCTTACTAAGGCCAGTTACATTGGGTGAAGGAGTGGAAGAGCCTGCAGCACCCGCTGATGAATTCTTTGATGATCCCTTCCCAGTAGCATAAAGTCTGCTTCCGTGCGCCTGAGGAAAAATTGAGATTGTTTCAGAACAGAATTTATTTAAGTTTGAGCAATATTCTGCATTGACAAGGAAAAGCCTAAATTGTAGAAAATATTTAATGGTAATACCAATGACAACCAATGTCCACAAAATTTCTGGAATAGATCGTTCTATTTTAAACAAGAAAGCAAATCTGGTGCATTTAAAATTTGTTATATTTAAAACCTACAAACTTTGGCATTGAGTATGAGAGGTTAGGTTCAATGATAAAATCACTTAAACTCTAACTAGAGCCTTTAACACCACCACTGACGATGGCATTCGCTTTCAGATATTCAAATACACACCTGGAATCGTGGATTCATGCGGCAAAATTCCAGAACTTTGGAGGCAAGCCTCATTTCACTCATTGCAGCCATTTTCAGATAGAATCACCTGTTTTCTGTTTGCAATGATGGCTCTGCTGAGCTAGCAGACAGCTGACTGACTGACTGCTTTGCTTTAGGTTGGCCAGGCTGGGACCACTGCCGTTTTCTCCTAGAGCTCCTAGCCTATTCGAAAGCTTGTTGCTGATTGGTGAAAAGCAGGGCTTCTGCTAAATCTTTGAAGGATTTGGCCAATCCCTGAATTTTATTCCAAAGTTGTGAACATGCACACGATTATAAACAGTGTAGCATGGCCACGATCACCAAGTCGTGTTGTTGTCAGAAATCATGCTAGTTTCACTCCACTTTTTTGATTGCGTGAATAATGTGATTTAATTCGCCGTGGTAAATCATGTACTTTCCGATTGGGTGGCCGAGGGTCTTGAGTTTCCCTCAACATGGGCAATGTTCCATCCGTCAAGTTATTTGTAATAGAGACAAAATTCTCTTCGCTATTTTGACAGACGATACTCTGTCAATTTGGTTTTGTAAGGTAACTGTATAAGTACATTATTTGACTGTAGTTCGGGAAGACTTCAAATTCAACATTGTTTGGTGCATTTTGTGTACCAGGGGGGAGGGTGACGAGTGTCATTCAGTTTTATTTTGACAGGCGATAGGTTATGGTGTTGGTTGAATATGGGCCGATCCTAATCTAAGATTTTTATCATGGGAGCAGAAAGAAACAACTAATCTAAGTTTCAGGAGAGTCAAAAATAAATAATTTACCTAGCCAAGGATTTTGTTTTGTGCATGACCGTTGAAGTCAGTCTAATCTCATACATTATTGTGTAAATCAGATTTTGACATAACAAAATAGTCCAGTGTTTATTATGTTAAATATTTCCAGCCATACCTCCAATGTAGTCCAATGTTTATTTTGTTAAATCTTTTCAGCCATGTCTCCCAATTGTGTCACATCGACGTCCACGAGAGTCTGTACAGGCAGTTGGGAGCAACGAGTCTGTAGAATGGAGACCAGATTCCAGCATGCTTGTCGTTATTGTAAGTTGTACTTAGATTCTTGTCAATTATGTGTTATTTTTATTGTTGTAAATCGTAAAATAGATTGTATTTTATTGCCCTTTTAGACATCAGCAGGGTATATGCTTATGTATCGCCTTGGGGTACGACCTGATCAGAAAGGTCTCTATGAGCAGGTTGACTCACCTACACCTAGTATGAGAAGGGATAGTGCAGAACTTTTCTTGCAAGAATCAATACCACCATTACTTCTTACACTGGTAACGTCCTCTTGATTCATTTTACTGTTTGATTTAGTTTCTTAGTGATAATTAAATGGTTGTTGAAAACATCTGTTCTTCTTTAAAGGAACAAGAAATTAGTGTTTTTGATGGTTCCCTAACATGTTTAGCATGTATCAGAGATGAATTAATGATAGCAACAACTCAGGGCCATATTTTACGTTATCGTTGGGATGGACATCAAAATAGAGACTATAATTTGGATCTACGAAGAATTCCTTTTTCAATTGATCAACAAGTCTCCAAAGGTAAGCGTGATGGAAAAGATCTCCTGGAATTTTAAGGAGAGGAACACTAATTCTATTTATTTCTTTTCAAAAATTGTTACAGCTATTCCAATTGTTGAATCCAATACATATGTTATTAGTATTGATTATTCACCCCTTGTTGGTGGTTTTGCTGTAGTCCTAAATGATGGACGGGCTGCTTTTCTTACTGCCTCTACCTTGAAATTTGACCCCAATGTAAGTGAGCTGTTTAACTATATGTTTGAAATGATTTAAGTTTTTGTTGGCACCTATTGTTAGCTGTCAGTGTGCTGTGCACATATGTGGTGTGATTTTTCCCTCTAATCTGCACTGTAGGAAACCTGTGCTTATCTTGATATTCCATCTGATGCTTACTACATCTAGTGTGTTGCACTACACAATCTTTGGGTTGCTATATCTTTTTTAAGTATGGTTCCTTTGCAGAGTATTTAACAAACCTTTTACCTCAGTTCTGCTTTCACATAAGCTTGCATCTATTTGATGTAGAACTTTGCTTTAGTTGCTGTATCTTTCTTAACACAGGTGACCCCAAAAGAAGAGGACTGTAATTCAAGCAGTTTTGAAAAATGGATGGTAAGATAGTGCATTAGGCAGTTATTTGTTATATGTTCATCGCTTGCTATTGTCTGCCTTTTTTGTTTCCCTATGGGAGAAATGTGCTTGCTTCTAGTCCAGTGAGGTATGTCATTTCATGGTCTTTTCTATGTAAGCCATATAATTCTTTAAATCTTATTCCATCTGTGATGACAAAGACTTCCTTATTATCAATCATTCTGATTTAAAAAAAAAAATGGAAATAAGAATACAAAATCTTGGAAAACAGAAGTGTGAATGTAACTGACTCAATTTTGTGAAGTGAACTTTTAAATTAGTTTCGTTTTATGTTTTTGAGGTTTTGTGATTTTAAAATAAATAATAAAAAATTAATTAAAATAAATAACATTCTGGCAGCTAAAGCTGAACTAGTCTTCCCATTTCAAAATAAATAACAATCATTTCATTATCATTTGTATTACAAACGTGCTGCATTCTATTTAATTACTTGTAATTATTTATCTTTACAGCAAGTTCAGGGTATTTGGGCTCAAAACGTTGATGATGCTACCTGTGCTGCTGTTAACCATAAGTACAGACTTATTGCCTTTGGAAGGAAGAAGTAAGTTGCGTGTTATGACATTATGACATTATTTTTCATGTCACCAATTAAATATGAGTTTTTATTTTACAGTTCTCAGGCAACAGTGTACTGTGTGGATGAAACAACTGGTGGTCTAGAGGTTACTCATCAAATAGTCCTCTCTCCCAAAGACTATCCTGGTTGTCCAGGGAGAGTACGCTGCATACGGTGGACTCCAGATGGGCGTTGTGTTGCCCTAGCATGGGCTAATGGTGGTCTTTCACTGTGGAGCACTTTTGGAGCCCTTCTGTTATGTTCGCTTGGATGGGATTACGGCTTAAACAGTGAATCTGCAAGTGCTAGTCTTTTAAACATACAGAGCATGGTTTGTATTCCTGCAGTTGCAATTGTTATTAACAAATGGTAACTATAAATTCTAAATGGTTGTCAAAATTTATTAGGAATGGAGTGCAGAAGGGTATCAACTGTGGATGGTACGTAGGCTACCTGATCGAGATCTCGGAGAAGATGATGGATTAGACCAACCCACAGATGCTGTGGTATTACTTGATTTTGTGAAAAGTGCTCTTACTGTCAATCCTTGTATGGTAAGTGGGAAAATCGATTACACTAAAGTATAGTGGGATTTTCGTCATGTATCTATTTCATTCATTTTCTCTCATACCATACAGGGTCATTTGACTCACCTTTATCTACAAGGAGAAGATAAGTTGTTTATTAATTTAGGTGGTACTGGTTTATCCAGCCCTAAAAAATCTGCTGATGAGACTAAAGGCCATGGAGCATTATTTGTGCCGGGTCCTGGGCTAGCTTTTGCAGAACCCACCAAAAGTACGACCAGTGGTGTTGGTACCAACAGTCAATTAATGGGGAGTAAGCAGTGGGTTGTTGTACCTTTACCCTCAACATATTCTGCTGCCAATTGGCCCATACGGGTAAGTCAAGTTCTATACTTCCTTTAGGATTTCTTTTCTTTTAAGATTGTGTTCAAGAACTGTAGCGTATTTTTCTTTAGTATACAGCCATGGATCTCTCTGGAGAGCATCTTGCAGTTGCTGGAAGAGCCGGCTTAGCTCTATACTCTGTAGCCAACCGCAAATGGAAACTTTTTGGAAGTGAAAGTCAAGAAAGAGATATTATAGTATCTGGGGGACTACTTTGGTGGGGTTCCTATGTAGTCCTGGCCGCCTACAGTGTGGCTTCCGACTGTGATCAACTTCGTCTTTATCCACGGGATTCTCGACTTGACAATTCATTTGCAACTGTTACAAGGTTACCAGCTCAGGCTTTGCTGTTGAACATTCTTCAAGATCGTCTTGTAACTTTCTGCTCAGATGCTAGAGTCACAATCTATGCCCTTGCTCTAAAAGATAATATCAGTTCAGGCAAGTGAAATTAGTTTATGCATTCAAGTTTTCTATTTACTCTCACAACTTATATAAACACATCAATCTAGTATAACAATTTACTTGTGTTTTTAGGTCCTTCAGTGGAAGTTACCGCTCTTCAGATGATTGACATAAGTGCCTTGTGTGTCCACCCAGCATGTGTTGTCTCTCTTGCTTTGACACCTCTCCGCACTGAATCTGGAAGAAGTCATTCACAACAAAATTCTCAACAAATGGAGAGTATTGTTATGAATGTCAGTGGAAGATTGCTAATGGTTCAAAGAGAACATGGTGGAAGAGTTGATCCTCAAATACCTCACAGCAGTGAACTGGTGAGCATTGATTTTGATATGAAACTAATTTTAGCACATTAGGTTGGCCCATCAAGTACACCACACACAATAAGTATGGTTCATCATAAGTTATCAAAAGAAAATGTTGAATTACTAATGTGATTCTAAAAATACAGTAATTGGAGAAAAGAAATCCTAAACGAAGTCAGTGTAGAAAAAATAAAATAAAAAAATAAAAACTAGAAATTGGGGATTACTATGGTTACTTTTGAAGTCGTTTATTCCAGAAAGATTTAAATTTGTTGCGTGTTTTCCAAGATTGCTGCTTCAGATTTAAGAATCCAAAACGAGGTTTATTGGTAAGATATGGTGAAATCAATCTTGTTAGTGTGGGGCGAAAATTTGAAAGGTGTGCACATTTGTTTGAAAATGCTTGTTTTATTGCACATCTGTCTTCTTGTATATGTTAAATTCCGTCTTTTCTTGAACCTATTTTTTATATCATTGCTTTGTTTGCAAATTGAATGAAAGGTGGGCGTTGTGATCATATCAATTTTCAAGTTTGAAATTACATTTGTTTGGGGGTGAGAGTGTCAGCACAGAAGAAGTAGAAATTTGTCTGATCAAACTTTTTGTTTGTCACACATATGTTTGTGCTGGGTAAAATGTTAGTTCTCTCTGTGTGTTTATTTTCTTCTCACATACTGTACATATAGAGGGATAAAACAACAACCATGTCATGCAAATATCCCTTTCAGCATCTCAAAACTTCAAACATAATTTTTTTATATCTTAATTACTGTGCATTAATGAATTATTGATTTCTCTTTTTCAGTTTCAGTGCACCCCACCTACTGTTTTGGCTTCCTGTGTTGAGCATGTTTGGGTTCCAAACCGCAGTGTGCCAGAAAAACCACATCTTACAGAGGCCTTGTGGCTTTTCTGTGGGGCACATGGTATGCGAGTTTGGCTGCCTCTCTTTCCACGATCCAAAGACAACCAGCATAGTTTTATGGCCAAGCGCATCATGCTCCCATTTCATCTACGGATCTATCCCTTAGGTAAAAATATTTCAATTTTTGTTTATTACTAATTGGTGGGAAATATATACCTGCAGTACTTTCATATTCTTTTATTGTTCTAGCAATTCTTTTTGAAGATGCCATACTTCTTGGAGCTGAAAATGACACACTTCTTTATACATCTGATACCAAAAGTCCGTTTTCATTACCTTTTTGTGTACTTGAACGCACTGTAAGTATCATCTGGCCATCAGGTCTTTCTGAATATACTGCCAATATTTATAATAGGAATGCAATATTTTCTACAGTACTTAATTATTTAGCTGTGTGTCAATTACAGAGCCAAGTTTATCTTCATCAAATCTTACGTCAACTAATTCGACGCAACCTTGGTTATCATGCTTGGGAAATAGCTCGGAGCTGTACTGCTTTGCCATATTTTCCTCACTCTTTAGAATTACTTTTGCATGAGGTGAATATCTTAATTTTTTTCCTATGGTCGTTCTTTTGTCCTGATCTGGGAATTCATCTTACACTTGTGTTTCTGTTGTAGGTTTTGGAAGAGGAAGCTACTAGCAAGCAACCAATTCCTGATGCTCTGTTGCCTAGTGTTGTGGAATTTATTCAAGAATTCCCTGTTTATCTAGAAACTGTTGCTCACTGTGCAAGAAAAACAGAAATTGCCCTATGGCCATATCTTTTTTCAGCGGCTGGTAAACCCAAGGATCTTTTTCAGGAATGTTTGGCAAGATGGCAGCTGGATACTGCGGCATCCTATCTTATTATTCTTCAGGTATTTTCCACTAAACCAAATCTTTTTTTTTTTTTATTTTTACATGGTTTGAGTTTTGATCCGATGTAAAATCCTTATATTTATTCCTACACTGCCTAGAACTTGGAGCCATCTACTGTGAGCCGTCAATATGCCACTCTTCTCTTGGATGCAGCGCTAGAAAATTGTCACTGGGAGCTTTCCAAAGACTTGGTACGATTCTTACGAGCTATAGGTAAGTTTTTCTTTACTGAATTGTTCTGTTATCAACTAGGTACTTTCTGCTGTCTCTGTGTTAATGTATTTTGTATCTATCTTCTATATATCTATCTATAGATCCCAATGATGTTGAGTCTCCACGTGCATCCTTTGTTATGCCGTCTCACTCTCTACGATATGGGCTAAGTCCACAGTCTCCTCCTTTGAGTCCTAGTCAAGAAGATTTGACTTTAGTTCTTGGTACCATGCAAGTTTCACGTGGACGCAGCTTTAGCACAACACTCACTCCAAAATTAGATGCTGGAGGAAAGGACTATCCATCCGGTAGTAGTAATCTTTTACCACTCCGACGAGATAGTATTCTAAAAGGCAATACAGGAATCGGAAGCCCTTCTCCTACTCCTGGTGTTGCTGTGCCCTTACGACGAAAGAAATCTGTTCCAACAGGAAGAGGAGATTCAAGGTACCTGTTTTTGACATCCAATTTATCACCTAAGACACCGTTTTTGTGGCATCCATTATATCCCATTTGTGACATGTTTTTATTTTTACAGGGACTTATCTGGTTCAGCAGAGGAATTTTTTATGGATGTTATTCTTCAACGACACGCACGGCGATTGTTGTCTACGCGTCGTTTGGCTGACTTGGGACGGTTTGCGGCTCGTCTAGACTTTCATCTCGTAGCCTGGCTGGCCCGAGAAAGGGAAAGAGCTGCCCGCGTGGATGAGCCTGTCGCTGCGCTGCAGCAGCTTCATGCTGATTTTCATTGGCCTCATCCAGCAGTGATGTCTCCTCTCGCCCTAGGCCTCGACCCCAAAAAATCAAGTTAGATGAAAATGTGAACTTTTTGTTGTGTGTTTCTAGATCACCATCATCAGAATATAACTCTCTTGTATTTCTTATCTAATTTAGGCATTCTCACTGAAGAGCATTTACAGACGCTGAGTATAGATGTCACAAGTGTACCTCCAGGTTTGACTGGAAATATTGGGAGTGGAAGCAGAATAGGAGACAGTGGTTATATGAGTCAGTCTGGTGTTCCCAATCGACTTCTGCCTCACAATTATACAGATTACCTGAGTAGTCCAAACTGTGTAGAAGAAGCAAGGCTGGTACCTCACACAGTTGCAGGTAAAGTGGCTATTTAACAGGTTGGACATTTATGTAACAAGGTATGTAGATCTGATTATGCCTATTGGTTTTGCTTTTTCAGATGATAGAAGTATAGTCAGCGAAGAAAGCTCTTACTGGGGGGATGAAAAAGAAAGAGATAGAGGTCAGTACTCACCTGATGATGTAAGTGGAACATGGAGCCAAGCTGCTGCAGATATGACAAGCACGTTAGAGCAGTTAACTATGGAGGGTTCAATCAGGGGGTCCCAAAAAGTTGAAGTACAGTTACGGTATGTATTTTTCCTTAAATCCGTCTTCTTTGAGTGCATAATTTTATTTGTACTATTTGACCAGGATTCTGAATCCTTATCTATATTTATCAATTTCTAGATATCTTCTCCAGTTAATGACAGAAGCAGGTTGTCTGGAATGGGCTTTAATCTTAGCAATCCTACTGCATGATGCCCTAGCTGTAGTGCGCACCACAGCTGCAGCTCGAGCACCTTCTCAGTCATATTCTTGTGTGCTGCGTTTGCGTGACACAATTACTACATTAACGAGCTGGAGCAACACAGAATGGTAAAGGAACTTAAATAATTTCTCTTTGCACAGTTTGTCTTTAAATTTGAATCATCCAAATGAGCTCATCTTTCATCAATTTTGTTTCCAGCATTGGATACAAACCATTTATGATGGCAATTCAAGGACAAGTTGGTGTACTTACTAAATTGATGACGAATAAGCAGCAGCACCAGATGCAGCAATATCAGCTACATCAACAACTACATCAACAGCAGGTTACCCCTCAGGGTGTTCAAAACCCTACCACCAATGCAGCCTTTTGCATTGAGAATGGGAACAATCAAGTAAGTTTTGATTGCTTAATTATTTTCTTTCTTTCATCTTAAGTACTTGTGAAAGAAATTTTAAGTTGTCTCTCTTTCTCTAGGAATACATTACAACAGAGTCATTACCAATGAAAGCTGATCGTACTATTGTGACCCCTAGTAGTAGTCGCCCAAGATCCGACACAGCCAGCAGTTCTTCAACTGTAATGACAGCAGGTCCTTTACCTAGTACTGTTACTTCTCAGGAAAGTGGCATTGACACAGTTCAAGAAGGTATTGATGTTGGCAAAGTAGAAGAGGAAAATCCAATGCCACTAGAAGCAAAGCCAGAAGCAGAGTCAGGATGTACTATTTCGTAATGTCTACGTCCATCCCTCTAAAATTATGCTGTATTGTGTGCATCATTTTCAGGGAATTTTATTTATTTGAAGAAATAAGTCCCTCTTCATCCACTTCAACATCACATTGTTTTCTAATACTTCATGCTGTTTAGGAGCTGGGCAGTGCATTTATGATGAAGTGGGGGTTTTGGATTGGTTCAAGAACAAACAATGTTAATGTCTTGTCAACGATGTTTTACACATTATGAACTTTTATTTTTACATACATTATACAATGTATGTGGGTGCATATTCCTACATGGATGCTTTTTGACAATACTACAGTATTTTTAATGGATATTGCAGTAGATAAATTTAAAATTGCTCAGAGAAGTTGAACTGATTGCTACTACCGTAAGCGTTGAACATTTTAATATGTTTCTTAATACTTTTTAAAATGTGTACCGAGTAAGCAAATGGAATTATTACTGTTGATTCCATAGTTTGCTGGAAATCTCAAATATGTCGAGTGATTAGATTCTTATGAAATTTGTGTGATGACTGTGCCTTATTTATGTACTTGAAAGATATTGCAAATGAAAGTGTCAGTTCAGATCATCTTTCAGAGACTAGCACTTTACAGCTTTGTGGCAGAAATTGCTGACTTGTCTTATTGACAAATAATTTGTGCAGTTGAAGTTATTTGTACCCTTACATTTTTCTAAAGAGATCACACTTTAATTGTGGTCAGTGAGATAATCATAACTCAATATGCGATATTGTCGGGGTAATGTCTGCACTCTAAATTATTCTTTGCACATACACATTTTATACAGAAGTCTCTAAGGTTATTCTTAGCCGTCCTTCTCATGACCCGAAATGTGGTCTGCTCAAATATTTTGCTCTTTGCACTCCATCATTTTAGTTAATGTTTGTCAAAACTATTTATTTTTCTTGTGTTTGTGGGTACTGTGACAAGGTTTTAATCCTCTGTTGCAGATACTTTTATGTCCTTGACTGACCGTTAATCTTTACAAACTATATTGAAATGTAACCGCTAACTATGGGTATAGCCTTTTCTTCTTTGGTGTGAAATGTGTGCTGCAGTAAGGAAAAACACTAGTTCATTCCCTTGCCCTAAAATAACTTTGCTCAAGTATCATAATCTAAGAATTATACGTATTTGCTCTGGTTGAAGAAATAAGTGAAGCATATTAGCTTGTATCAATTCCATCCAGTCTTTCTATCTGTGTTGCCAGCAATAATAACAATCTTTTCCATTGAATCAATGTTAAGTTTGTCTGATTTATCACATTATAATTTTATGTCTGTTATGTTCTTTGTTTTAAGTGGACTCGATATTTGGTTAATTTAATTCAATTTTCAATGTAATTAGAAATTACACCTCTACAGCAATGGACTGAATGTGTTGAACCAAATGCATTCTATGATAAAGTGCATCAATAATTCGCTTTCCTACTGCTTTACTTGGGTTTTTATTGTGCCAATGAAATAATAGATTTAATAGTACAAAGATTTGAAGTTTTCTGTTTGTTGTTTATGTGGTCAGAAACTATGATAGGTTGCTCACCTTCAAAAGTTTGTCTTTTTGTAGATACCTTAAGATATTCATTCATTCAAACATTTCATCACTTCATAAAAAATGCCTTAAAGTGCTATACTGCTATACTTCAATTATTCACAACTAAGATTTTTTGAGAGTTGAAATTTTTGACTGACTGGGAAGCTTGCTTGCCTAGAAACACCTACCGGTAGTTTTGTTTTTGAGTTTGAATGAGAGTTTTCTGCTCTACCCAACCCTCTCCTTTTCTTTCTGTAAGATATTTTGCTCTCAATTGATTTTTCAGCTCAGTGTGCATTTCATAAAATTGCTATTAGTCATGGTGAATTTGGATGTATTTTGCTGTCATGGTCATGGTAATCAGTGTTGTCATTGATAACCATTCATAAATTCATATTTCATGTTTATTCAATTTTCTCCATTTCATACATGTTGTGATAGTATCTTCTTAAGAATAATTTATCTAATTTTTAATGTAAATAGTTTTAGTGCTTGTTTAATGGAGATTTCATCAAAATAGTAATTTACTGTTTTGTTAAGAATTCCTTGCATGTACTGATTTCGCAGGACGAAAACAAGATGGCACTGTTAACAATTTCAACGTACCGTAGTAGCTCCTGTAATTTGTCTCAGTTGGATTTTCAGAGAAATATGGCTCTAGACCATGCTTCATGTTTGTTTTATACATATTGTGAAATTCATATTGGTAGGACTAAAATGCCCTGGTAACAATTATGTAATAAATAAGTAATCAACCGAAACATGATACATAATTACCCATTTTAAATTTGCTTTGTAATTAATTGTGTAACCTCTTAGGTTTTGTCATGTCTCAACCTGCTTAATGTAGATAACTCTTTTTGTTGATAATTTTTTTCAAAGTCATTCAAAGTTTATCCAGCTGTTATAACACTTTGCACAATTGTACCTATAGAATTGTGTTTGCACAAACAATTAGCCTCTACAGATTATGGCATAACTTAATTTGGCAATGAGTGACATAGTAGCTACAATTACACTGTATTTTTTGTACTTACAGCAATTGGTGACAGGTCTGACATGTGGCCATTGGGGCCTTAATTCTTTGTCTGAGTTTGACCAAAATACCGAATATGTGCCAATCAAGTGTCTATTTGCTAATGTGAGCAAATCAAATATATTTTTAAAAACATTTTACTTCTATTTTTATTTAAAAGTTGTATATGTAGTTTCAATTATATAATTTATTTACAATTTAACACATGCCAAACTCCTCATACCTTACAAATCAAAAGAAATTCTATTCGCTAAAACATTCATTAACTCTTGAACTTCTAACGGCCAGATACGCTCCGCTTCACTATTCTTGTCAGATATGTCCATGAACTTGAGCGCCTCGACTTCAGGAGGTAACTGTGAAGGTAATTTCATGGTTGCCAGCACTCCACAATAAGCACCTGATTAGAATTAAAATATTATAGGAAAGGCATCACATTTGACATCATTACCTGACAAAACTAAAGGCATACAAACCTTGTTTAATCCAATTATACCCAGGAGACCTCTTACATTTTGTCACTCTTACTTCACCACTACCATCACTTATCAGTATATTATCTTCGTTTTCACAAGTTTTTACCCAGCCTTGAAGCCAAATCTGATTAAACTGTATCACCAGAGACTGACTAGCCCCATTTTTATTAGTAGATGGACATTGTATTTTCCATGGGTAAGTTTGCAATTTCGTTTTCAAAACGTTTCTGAAATCCCTAACCAACAATTTTACAGGTGCATCTTGCGACAAGACAACTGGCTCAAATGTCATATTACTGCGCAAAAGAAATCTCAACAAGTAAATTATTATTTCCGAGGCTATGAATAGAATGACAATACTGGAAAAGGGCAGTAATAGACAACCAAAACAACAGGCCAAATTTTTTTGAAGAGTAAAGAGTGCGCTTTTGCACTTTCGCGCCTCCGCGCCTTTGCTTTTAGAGAGTATCAGAGTATGAGAAATTAAAAAACCACACAGTCCCCCGTTTTGGAAACGTAAATAAACAGTGAGAATCGGCGTCTTCTGCTACTGATAAAACCGATAATACCTACCCAAACAAATTATCATAGGATTCTAATCAGAATTTTAGGGTGGTGAACGTCGTTTATTGATATTAATCGTAAGCGATAGTACTTTATGGCTCCCGGAATATTGAATTGTTCTGTCCCGGTTGTTGTAGGGGTAAGTGGCTCCATTTTACCCACACATGTTGTAAGTTAGTTTTTTGAGCAGAGTAAATGATGCCCGTTATGTAAACTTGTTTAACTGTAAGCTTTGTTGAAAAGGTGTTGAATGGGTCATTTGCAAGGGTGAACTGTCAGTGTATTATCATGTATAATATATTTTACTCTGTATTATTCTGGTTGGGGTGCGAGAAGTCAATGGAGAGTTTTAGGTCTATGTTTGTGTAGCCCGCTAAACAATCAATCAATTAATGTTCTTTTCAACTAATGTAAAGCTGCCCTCCACTACCATTCTAATAATTGTGGGAAAGGTATCTGGGAGATGCGTGCACAGCCTACAGCATGTGCAGAGGGATATATGTTACGTTCGATTAATGCTTGAGTCCAGTGCCAAACTAGAGATTTAAGTATGGAGGCATTTAAAAGTGTGTTGCATGAGTAAATTATATTTAATTAATATTTGATGATTGTTGACTAGTAAATGAAAGCTAGCATTAAAAACAATAGCGCCTCTAAAAGTACCGTTTAATATGATTGCAGGAACACGGCCCGGAAATATTCTTGACCTGATCGAAGAAGTCTATGGGATAATTTTAACTGATAGTATAGGTGAGAAGCTTCCTTTGGTGTGCATCAAAGAGCGGTTTTGATGGTTTTTGTGGTGCCTTGGCTCTTCCTTGTCAATTTCAATTCCCCTCCAGTCAAAAATCCACGCCGATTTAATTTTTTTTAAATGTGGACTAGGTATTTCCAAAATTGCTAGAATTGGTTTAGATTGGTAGGGAGACTCCCCTTTCACTTGCTCTGTCTATATATCATGGTGCCGACTCACTACAGCAGAGTTCTTAGCTATTGCGCCTAGGAAGGCAACCTGTCCATCAGTCTGAGGGACCATCTCTGAAAACGCAAGTTTCTGTGGACAGGGGTGGTTTTTGACGGAACCAAAGATAGACCTGTCTCAAGGACTTGTGGTCCCCTGGTTCACCGTCGATTCGAATACTCCCCCGTCGAAATCGGGACCCATCGATTTTCGCTAAAAATACAAGCCTTTGTAAATTTTGCCAAAAGTAAAAAATTTGAAAATCGCGGAAAGTGGTTCGAAATGGTCCTATAGCACCCTCTTACTAACTCTCCGTCGAAATTTCACGTCGCAGAGCCATTTTAAGCGAGTTACGCCTGTTTTTCTTGTACCGGCTCGCCTGCTAGGTAGGCAGCCCATCGTACGCTGCCCGCCAGATTCAAAAGACCACCCCTTAAAACTCAAGTTTCTCTGAACAGGGGTTGTTTCTGGCGGAACCAAAAGTAGTTTTGTGG